ACATATCTTTAATTCTCAGAAGTGTAAATGGGCTAAAGAAAGAGATAACAATAAACATATTACCTGTGAAGTATATGCTTTTGTGATATGAATTGTATTATATGATTTATAAGATGATATGTATTTGTATATGATATGAGATTGGTAATGGTTCATGCATTGGTGTGATTTAGAGTTTTCATTATATGCTGATACGGTATAAAGGGAAATTAGTGATGATAAAATAAGTAATGATAAGCATGTTAATGATGGGGTTAAGTATATATATGCGTATGATGTTATGTTACATGATATGTGCATGTGTGTGTATATATTACAGAGAATAATATATGTTTTTGTATGATATGGAAGTAGTAAATGTTCATGCATTGTAGAAGTTACAGTTATATCATAATTTTATTTATGTCTCACTAAGTCATCGACTTAATGTGTGAGTGTTTCACACATAGGTTTAGAAAGCGACAAGAGAAGCTAAGAGGAGCAAGACAGGTTAGCATATTCCTTACAAAGTTCAGATCAGAAAATCAAAGAGATGATTTAGTTGTATTTGGTTATTTTGAATATAGTTGGCATGTACTAATTTATTGAGTTGAATATGCTCTGATATTTTTTGTAAACCAATTGATTTGATTAATGTAAAATATTCTTTTTCTTGAAAGGTGATTTTAAAATTTTAATCAGTTTGTAAAGGAAAATGCTTTGAAAAGTCAATGTGACACTTTAGACTTGGATCCGGGTCAGATACGGGTTGTGGGTGTTACAGGTGGTGACTCCTCGAACCACATTTTTCTATCATAAAAGAAATCCCAAATTTTTCGAAACGAGAGAGGTTTTTTAAATCACATAATTTTTTTAATTAAAAATTAACTAAAAGAGAATGAATTAAAATTGATGTGGTTTTCAAAATCTCACTTTTAAGAAAAAAATCGTTTCGACACTTCTCTTACCTTTGGTATCGGTACCATAAAAACAATATCGATATTGTTCATGAGGTATTAATACTATAAGAATAGTATCGATACTTCTTTTGCAGAAAAAACATTTTGTGTTCAATTCCAAGTTAAATGAACTTTGAATTATTTTTGAAAACTTTCAATAAATTCAATTCAAGCCCAAAAACATTTTGCTATAAATTGTTATATCAAAACATAGTTCAACAGTTCATCTTAAAATATGAATTTATTTTAATTAATTATTAATTTTATCGATTATGATCATTCCAAAAATTTATTTATGCCTATTTATAAACAAAACTTTTATAATATTAAAATAAATGAGTATTCTTAAAAATATTTATAAATTTATCACAAATGACAATGGCACGTAAGTCATAGTAATACTAAAGCTAGCTAGAATTGTTTCCAGGACAATATAATTCCGTAAAATATAATATTAGACCTTCCACATTAGAACGCCTAATAGATTAGTTTGCTTGTAATTATTGTTTTCACTTTACTTGTAAAAAATAAGCAAATTATGAAATGGGTGAGATATGATATTAAAATATTAATAAAATATAAAAATGCATAAAACTACTTAAAATTGGTTATTAATGTATACAGTTTAATTACAATATTTTTACAAAAAAAAAATGCAGACACAAATTATAATTAAGACATCTTAATTAAATTCTAATAATTTTTTATACATAATAATTATCTTTCTTATATTCATTTAAGAATTTAATAATGTAAGCAAGCTCGTAATTACACATTTCGTAATAATCGCGTTTGAAAATGGAGTTCTTGCTCATTCATGGAGGGATAGCTTTTTTCTACAAAAATAACCACACTACACTCCGAATATAGAATTAAAACTTTATGACAAGTATTATAATGTTATATTATTACGAGTCTGAAAAATTACAACAAATCTGAGATGAATTAAAATATAATATAAAAATAATTAATTCATATTATGATATAAAAATAATATAAAAGATTATATAAATCTAACTATAAATATATTTTTTGATTAAATGATATAAATATATTTTTTGATTAGATGATATAAATATATAAATAAACTAAAATTTATGTAAAGTAAATGATTTATATAAATCATGGGCATGTCATTAGGCAACAACCGTCGGATGCGGTCAGGAGGGTAGAGTCGATTACAGTCGACGGTGCCAGAAGGAGAGGACGACCAAGGCGGAAGTGGGAAGATTGCTTGAGATCTGATTTGAAGGATTTAGCCCTTACCGAGGACATGACCTCTGATAGGAAAGTATGGAGACTTAAGACCAGGGTAGCCGAGTAGTGCGGATCACAGCCATAGGGTGTAACATATCTGTCTTCTTTTTAATGCCTTTATAGTAATTTACATGACTTCTACTTTTTATACGTTTATGTCATTGGAATTTATGAAGACTTAAAACTAGGGTAACGAAGTAGTGTTGCCTTAGTTTAGGTTTTAACTCATTTGACTTTATTCATTCTCGTAGCTTGCTGTCGTTGACTTCTGTGTATCATTCTCTTCATGTTTTCACTTTTTAAATTTAGTCGGGTCTTACGTCTCTATCTATATGCAGAGATTTTTATGCAGGGATTTATTTACAGAGATTACTTATCATTACAGACACGCATATGAAGACTGCATACGAAGAATGTTCCACTATGTATTTATTTATTTATTTATAGATGTATTGCATTTTATCTTTATTTTTAAATTTTTTGACTACCGAAGGTCTTCCACGGAAGATGCTCTCAACCTGGCGTTGGGGGCAGCCTACTACCCTACCTCCCCTTACCCCATTGCATATGAGAATATGTTTTGTTGTTGTTGTATAAATTTTACAAAAATAATTACACACAAAATAAAAAAAATAACATTAATACAATGCAAACACACATATTCATTGATATATACGACAATATTTACTTGTAATAGTATAACAATTGTAATATTTTATTTTTGAAGAAACAATTGTAATATTTTAAATACATTAGAATAATACTAATACCACATATTTTGATATTGTATTTTATGTTTCATTTCATTTCTTATTTATTGTACCACGAGCATTTAGTGAAGCAAACTACTAATTATCCCATCAACTATAAAAATATTGAGGTTAGGTACACATGTTGGTAACACAAAAATTTTGAATGGATGGACATAATAAAAATTTCAGGGTAGACACAAATAAAATTTCAAGATAGGTGTCATTAATAAAATAATGAACTAACCAAAGAAAATTCGAATTTCAATATAGACATATGGTCACTCTAAAATATATTTGTGGCACCGTCACTGGCATTTTACTGCATTGGGGTTGTTTTCATATTGCTAATAATAATGCTCTTGTTGCTAATAATATTGCTCTTGATATGTTTCAGTAAATTGGGTTTTTTTTAATAGAAAATGAGCCTAAAAAAAATACATTAGGCATGTCTTGGACGGACATAGGAGGCATGCAATGTCTCACAAAACAAAACCAATAATAGAAAGAGGTGCCACGTCATATAAAGTCAATAGGCCGAAATTGTTACCTTCAATTTTGCCAAATAGTCTGCTACCATGGGTGATTTTTTGCAAAAAAAAAAATTATTCGAATAGTACACTGGAGAGATTATTTGCTCAAATGGATTAATACTACAGTAAACATCAGAGTCTTATTGGGCTCCTCACGTTTTCCCAAGGTCGCATGGAACACTATGCGACTCCCCCTCCCCGGACCACCATGCGACTACCCCAATAATAAATTCAAAAATTTATTTCCTACAACAACATGCTTTTTACTTTTACTGCATTATTGCAAAAAATCAGTCTATATATATATATGTAACAAAGTAAAAAGCTTATATTATTGCAAAAAACATGGGGAAAGGCGCATGGTGGTCCAGGGAGGGGGGAATCGCATGGCGTTCCATGTGATCTTAGGAGACACGGGGAGCCAAGTGCGACTTCGATATATACTGTATCATTCACTCCATTTGAGCAAATAATTTCTCGGATGTACTATTCGAACAATTTTCTTTTTCGATTGCATTATTGTAAAAAATGTGCCCTTCTACCATATTCGCTTCACGTCAGATGAGTTTGAAATCAACGAACCAGGCACGATTTATCATCGAAGCTCTCTCTCGAACTAAGGAGTATGGATTGTCTGATGATGAATCTTTGAGTAGTCTGAATGCATCCGTACGATTTAATTGGAGTTGGACTTTCTCAAAACCATTATTCCAAGCTAGATTTAAACCTTCAAGAGCTCCTCAAAACCATTATTAAGTTCGTAATGCATACGTTTAGAACAAATCTTATTATTTAAATTTTAGTATTGATATTCATCTATTGGTATCAACGCTAAGAAATATTATAAAATTTATTTTAAAATTTTATCAAATAAAGTCAAAAAATTATATAAAAATAAAAATCAGATCAAATTAAATTAAAATCGATGAATTTTAAAAAACTAATCGAATCGAATCAATCTCACTCCAATATAAGTGAAGGATTATTGATAAATTAAAGATGCTAATGTTATTAACAAAACTGGAAGTTTCTATAGTTAAATAATTAAAATAGAAACACACAAATAATTAACTAATGTTATAATTCACTCTTTATTTTATTAAACATAATTTAAAGACACAAAACAATGTTCTAAATATGATAATAAAATTAAAAATTTTAATATACTAAAAAATTTCCATATATGATTAACATAAATATAACATAAAATTTAGCGATTGAATTGTTAAATTTTATTCATAAAATAAATTATGTAAAATTTATTTAATTTTACACTAATATAAATAAATATATCTTCCCATCTCTCTAGAGAGAGAAAGCTCGAGGGTATTTTAAATTTTTTAACAAGAAAATGATTTCTTCAAAAAATATCTTATGGGTTGATTTGGTTTTTCGAAGATCCAAAGTAATATCTGATTCGACATGGCACTAGACCTGATAAACCTCTGTTTGAACCGGTCAATCAATCGGTCCAATTTTTTTCAACTACGCCTGAGAGATAGAATAAGTGATCCGAGCCCGAATAATTGCAACATAACATGATATGCCATCATAAACTCAAGCTTGAATTTCAACTCGCCTGCTTTCGACGGACAGGTCTGCATTCTCTTGCAAGTTACTACAAAACAAATCACACCATATAATTTTGTACCATTCCACCAAGGAAGAAAGGGCAGAAGAGAAACTAAGATATCAATCCATAACACAGGAAACAATACAAAGGTGGCCGTAAGATGTTCGATCCCGAACGGATTCATGCCCTCTTTTCCTTCTCCTTCTCCTTCTTATGGCTTCTCTTATCATCTGAATCACGAGAATACAGCTTCTCGTGTCTTTCATGCTTCCCATGCTTTTCGTGTCGCTTCTCATGTCTGTCGTGCTTTTCCCGTCGCTTCTCATGTCTGTCGTGCTTTTCCTGTCGCTTCTCCTCACGCCTCTTTCTCTTCCTGCTGCTTTCATATTCTGATTCACCTTCTTCAGCGTTTGCAGTTGATGGTACAGGTTCCTCCACCTTGACCATCTCAGGTGAGGCTTCCTTCTGAGTGGACGGAAGTGTGCTTGGATCTTCCCATGGACGTGGCATTCTGAGGCAAGTGCAAAACAAAATGTTAAAAAGAGGAGCAAAGTGAAAGTTAACAAGGGCAAAAGCTTGCAAAATGGACATGCTATCTAGAAAAATATGAACTATGGTATTCTCAAAGAGTTGATACCATTAATGCTATAGCAACAGCAGCCATGCACTTTTACATGAGGTATTCAAATACCAGAGACAAGTGTAAGACTAGAAAATATAGGCTTATATATGTATTATACTATAGACCAGAAAAAGATTTGAGTCTACATACTATAGAACCAAATAATTTAGTCCTTGCTCATTTGATTTTGATGCAAACAAACAAAATTGTAATAGTGTTGATGACAAACCATCTAAATGCATACGTACACTTCAGAAATTTCCTACTTTACTTCTATCTACAGATCTATATTTTAATCAAAAGGCATGGGGTGTTGGACTGTTGGTAGATGCTGTCATTTGGGATGCTTGATCAAACAGAGCACATCCGACATGACAAATTATCTAGCACCACTCCTCAGAGATTGTATCTAAAATGACCCCCCTCACTCCCTAGAACCCGAAATAGCAGCAAATTTCATTTATGCTCTTAAAAGGAATTCATAATTGAGAATAATATAAAATCCTGTCAATCAATTTGCAATCCCCACAGCATTGCTTATTGTACAATCATATCTTGAGAACTTATTTTTCAGATAATATGAATCCTTCACATACCTTGAGAAACCAAGACCGTCTACTCGTGCTGCTTCGGCATGGCCTGCACCCAAGTCCTCAGCAGTGGACCCTCGTTTCACAAGTTCAGAAAGCTCGTGCTTATCAAGGCGATTCCCTTGAGGTTGACTAGAGCGTTTAGGAGCCAGTCCAAGAGCCTCCCTCATGGCCTGCTCCTCTTCTTCTTTGACTCTTCTAATCTCTTCTTTTAGAGCCTCTGCCTCCGAACCCTTGGAATTTTTATCCCTTGTATACCAGTGCAAATCCTTCCCTATAAAAGAATAACTTCATGAGTTGATAGGCTTTTGCTTAAGACCACCCAGTATTCCAGTATGGTTCATTAAAAAATGGATGACATAAACACTCACCCTCTAGCTTACAAAAATACAATTGCTTTGTACTGCAAAATGAAATAAGATAAAATCATACCTTTTTGCCATCTCCCAATGGATGCCTTAATACTGTGACCAAGATAATTCTCCCTATGTTTATCCACCTTTACATCATCCCAGCTAAATTCTGCATGTCACAAGAAAATACCCATTGGTATAACTCACCTAGAATATAGTTCATGGAGAATAAAGAGAAATTGATATAATTTAGGCAATGCTATACTTGAATTCATGTAACTAATGTGAAAACAAGATGTAGAAACAAATACTTTTGTCAAATACAAAAGAAATAATATAAATTCCTCAAATCCTAAAATCTCTAATATTATGTCTCAAAACTTGATATACTAAATCATGTAAAGCACTCAAAATATAAAAAATTTAGATGTCCAAAGCTAGTTGAAAGATCAATAGTGTCAATCCTCAACCGGGTGAGAGGACTGTACTTCAAATTCTAGCATTTTGTACTCTTTTCATCCATCCTTCTCCAAATGGCCAGTTAAGTAAAATGGTAAGTTGCTCATAGGCAGCCAAGAACAAATGGATAGTTAGCATCTAGTAATTGGAGATTCCACTACTCCTATCAAACCAACAATGGTCTTCGCAATTTTCTTTTCCTTTCTTTTTTCAAAATATATTTTAAATTACTCGCAAAATTCGCTCAATAAAGGAAGCAGATCAATACGCATAAAGATGATAGTTGTGTGTGTCTATGTATGCATGTGTATCGAGAAGTAATATATACAAATATATATTTAACATTTTCATCATACGATCAAATGCATTAATGCTGACATGTTTTATTTTTCCTTCAATTAATTTTCAACAAGCAGAACCAGTAATATCTTTTATTTTTTCAACACCATTGGTTCAACAAGCGTCTTCAGTTTGCAATCTTTTTGGCTAACCTTTTATCAGAATTCTGAGCGTACAGAAGAATGTAGAATTTCAAAGTGGGGTTTCTTTTCTAAAGAATTTCAAAATTCTGAAATAATTAAATATATATTGGAAAAGTAAAAACTGGAATTTTCTAAATTATTAGGACTTGAATGAGAATAAAGAAATTCCTAGCTTTTTAATAAGATGTGGCTTATATAACAAATAGGTACCTAAAGTATTTTTTGGTCAAAATAAGTATCTAAAGTTATCTTTTGGTCAAAATAAGTATCTAAAGTTATCTTTTGGTCAAAATAGGTACCTAAAGTATTCAATTTTTTTTCATCCAAGTACCTAAAGAACTCTTTAATTAATGTCACATGTCAACTTTTTTAGAACTTAGATGAAAAGTTTGAATAGTTTTGGTACCTATTTTGACATAAAATACTTTAGGTACATATTTTGACTAAAAAGATAACTTTAGGTATTTATTTTGACCAAAAAAATACTTTAGGTACTTGAATGAAAAATAAAGTATACTTTAGGTACTTATTTTTTATATAAGCCATAAGATGTCAATATTTATTATGTTCCTCCTTTTATGCATCTTTTCCTTTTTTTAGTTCTAACTACAAAAACTATTTTAATAAGATTTCATGAAAAAAATTGAGATCTAGAATAGAAAACAGTTCCATAATGGAGATAGAAATGAGAAAGAAACAAGGTTTCCTTTATGTCAGCTATGCCAATTGCCAAATTGGTAAATAATGATAGCTCCCCAGTTTTATCTATCCGCAATATGCAGACAACAATTAAGGCATAAAGTTGAAGTTTGCTTCTTGTTCTCAATATTAACGTATCTGGCAGGATAAACACATTTCCAGAGCTAGTAAGTTCTAGTTTTAAGTAACTAATTAGTAGATTAGGTACGACTGTTGTTCAACTTCAAACACGGCACTCATAAGCAAAATTTATTTTGATTACACAAGAAAAGCCTGTCAGTTTAGATGAATTGAAAATTCAACTTTAAGTTTTCTGCCATGAAATTCACGCTTATTAATTGCCCTTATATTTATGGGATAAGCCCAAACTCAAACATCTTACATGTAAATCCTGCTTCAGAACAGAAAATTCAGGTTTCTAAGGAAACAAAATTGTGTGTATTATAGCTTTAGAATGACAGCCAAATACAAAGAAATAGGGATGAAGGAAGACAAGCAGTTCATAATTATATGACTATGATATGACCAACCTGAAATTACCATTAAAAATATGAATTATTCAGAATTCAAAATTAGTTAAAAGGGAAAAATTAACCCACGAATCCAGATCGCAAAATTCTCTTCGCTGCATAAATTTCAATTTCTAATTCCTTTTGTCTCTTATCATTCAATTAAAGAAAATCCAAACAAAAGGGCTGAGAACCATAAATTGTTGCTATAATTATTACTTTTTTAAACTCAAATTGAATTACGGAACCTAAGAACACGAAAACCATAGAAAACATATAAAACAAAAAGGAGGAAAAAAGACGGGGAAACCTACGATCTCGGCCACCACGAACGCCACCTCTGGTTGGATGATACATTTTTCTCCTTTCTCTTTCAAATTCAACGAGCACGAGAGTCTTTCTTCTTTCGATTGCTTGGCTTCTGTGCTACCCTTTATTTATGTAAGGCTTAATTCCCAAATAAGTTCCCAAACTATTTATTTATTTTTTTCAAATAAGTGCCTACAATTTATTTTTTATCCATCCGAGTGTCTAACATTACAAACGTTACTCTTTTAGGTGCTCAGGTCATCAACACTGTTAGTTTTTCCCGTTAAGTGACACATGTCAAAATCTAGTAATTTTAAAAAATTTATATAAAATTTTAAAAAATTTATATAAAATTTTAAAAAATTAAATTATATATTTTATAAAAAGAAAAAATATAAATTTCAAAATAACTCCTAAACTTTGAAAACTTTCATTTCAACCCTAAACCCACATCGATCGTCGCTCTTTATCGTCGAAAAAGCTCCACTCGGCCTCCCCTCCCCTCGGCGACCATAACCCCTATGAAATTATGATTGGTTGACGATCAATTGACCACAAATCAACATTTTAAATCTCACGAACCCTAATAAGGAAATTATGATCCCATATGGTTTTGACGGTTAATCGGCAACAATTACGATGACATATAACTAGTATGATGTCAAGGACTACGTCAACGACGACAATGGTGGCCGGAGAAGGCGTCGACGGTGGATTAATGTTAGAATTTAGTATTTTAGGGTTGTTTTATAATATAAGAAAAGTTTATGGTTTTTTATAAACATAATTTTTCAAAAAAATTTTTATAAAAAATAAATTTCAAAATCATCAGTGTTGACACCTGGCACTTAACAGGAAAAACTAACGGTATTGACAACCTGGGCACCTAAAAGGGTAACGTTTATAACGTTAGGCACTAGGATGGGTAAAAAAAACTGTAGGCACTTATTTGGTAAAAAAACGCATAGTTTAGGCACTTATTTGAGAATTAAGCCTTTATATAATGGATAAATGCAAATTCTTCTATTAGTCCTTGTACAAGTATAACTTGCTGATTTAATCCTTGTATCCTAATTTTATTATTCTTGATCTGTTATTTGTCAAATTTTAAATTTCATTAGATCGGATTTTTGTTAATGTATTGCTCAAATGTTAAAATTTAATTTTAGTTTTTTATTAATTTGAGGTCAGTATATGGCAGTATCTATTCAAAGATAATTCTCAACCGTCTGATATTTCTTATGTTCAAACTCAAGACCTCAAGAAATAACAACAATTCCTTTGTCACCGATGTCAATTGGTTCATGCAATTTTTTTATTACACTGAATTTAAATGAAAAATTAGTATCCTAGACACTAAACCTTAACTAACTAATTTCTATTTGATAATGAGTTGACTAAAAATTAAGGTTAACATGTTTTTTTTCCTTTTTTGATTAAAGGTTAATATGTTATTTTTTTCACAAACCAAACGACCTTGATGATAAATGAATTGTTGTTATTCTTTGAGGTATTGGGTTCGAGCACCAGGAATGTTAGGAGTGTGAGCGTTTAATGTCAAATAATTGAGAGATCTTCAAACAAATACTACCTTATATTTATCTCAAACTAATAAAAAAAAGATTAATATGTTAGGTTATATATTAAGGGTATGATTTCAAATTACACATGAGTTAACTTTTTGATATCTCATTTTTAGATTAGTGAGATATTTACTCTAAAATACTTGTGTGCTTGTAACATCCTCAATTTGATCTAGATGAAAATCGAGCCAGAGATGTTAACGAAACTCAAATTAAAACGAAATGTTCATAAAACATATATAATATCAACTTAAAATCATCGAAACAAAATCGAATAATAACAATTCAAATCACATCTTCGATGTTATCATTTAATAGTCAAACATTATTTCCATTATAACTTAAATTCATGCTTAGGGACTATTTTCAAACTCATGAAAGTTCAAGTACTTATCTATAAATATTAGAACTATGAGAATTGTCCACTTAAACAAACATTGTCACACAATCATTACATAACCATATTATGGTTATTATTATAAAATTTAATCATTTCACAACGATATATTGCTTAAGGTTGAAATTAATTGTTTTTAAAAGTTTAGAGACTTAATTTGAATTAACAAAAATCTGAACTTATACTAACAAACCATACATTGGACTTATATCAAACATAATATTCTTAAACATAAGAAGCATTAATAATACGTTAATATAAACAATGATCAAGAACCAATTATTAATCTTTCAAAAATTTAAGAACTAAAATGTAAATATTAAAAATTATAAAGATCATTAAAGGCATTAATTTTTAATATATATTTTTATCAATAAAGTTTCCTTCCAAAAATATGAATTTAAAAAAAACGAGAATCGGACATTATATGACAAAGTTATGAATTAAAAACAAATATAAAATTTCAATATTAATGGCTCAACATCGATACCATGAGTATGACATCGATACCAGACAAGGCCGGCCCTGAGCTCAGGCGGGGAGTGCGACCGCCTAGGGCCCAGGTTTAGAGGGGCCCATTCTTCCCAAACATTTTTAACCTCGCAAAACACAAAATCACGTCAAAATAAATATCCAGGAAAAACATGACTCTTAATCTATCTTGGAGGGGGCCCATTCTTCTCAACTTTATATCTTGTTTTCTGTAAGCACCAATATTTTTTTTAAAAAAAAGGGGGGTTATACCCTGCACCACCACTTGCCCATTTCTTTAATATCCCCAACTGTTGCCCATGCTCCACTAATTACCCACGCCATGCTACACGCCTACGCCCATGCCCTGCAAAATAAAAGAGATTCCATCAGTAAACAATTAAGGTGGGGCCAGCAAAGGAGAATAATATTAAATGGGGGCTCTCGACCAAAAAATAGAAAACACATACAGAAAATGAGGTTCATCAACAAGGTCAGAAAGCAAAAAACGAGAGCAAAAACCGGAGATACAAACGTAACCAAAATCAGGGGTAAGGAGGAGGAGAGAACAAAAAAATAGATTGTAAGTGTGAAGAAAAACAAGGGTTCCCCATCTCATTTCTTTTACACAGTCAATGTAATCAAGGGAGCTTTTCCTCACAATTTTTTCTAAGGAGCAATGCGAAAGAAGCAATTTTCGCTATTACGCATATTCTTTACTTTTAAATGTTTTGTGTGTGTATGAAATTGAAATGCAAGTAACAACACAAAATAGGAGATAGAAGCTCTCCGAAACTGTTCGAACCACATTAGTCCAGGGATAGAGTGTTGGGTTTCGTTCGGGAACTTTGCATAATAGTATTAGGATTAGTTCTTATTTTAGGGTTTTGAAATAAAAAGAGAGAGGAGGTGATGGGTAGCTAGGGCGGCCCTGAGCCCAGACGGGGAGTGCGATCGCCTAGGGCCTAGGTTTGGATGGGGCTCATTCTTCCCAAACATTATTAACCTCGCAAAGCACAAAATCACGTCAAAATAAATATCTAGGAAAAGCATGACTCTCAATCTATCTTGGAGGGGGCCCATTCTTCTCAACTTTCTATCTTGTTTCCTGTAAGCACCAATATTTTTTTAAAAATAGGGGACATACCCTGCACCACCACTTTCCCATGTCTTTAATATCCCCAACTGTTGCCCATGCTCCACTAATTACCCACGCCCCACTAATTACCCACGCCATACTACACGCCTACACCAATTCCTTGCAAAATAAAAGAGATTCCATCAGTAAACAATTAAGGTGGGGGCAACATATTATGGGAAGCAAAGGAGAACAATATTAAATGGGGGCTCTCGACCAAAAAATAGAAAACATAGGCATAAAAGAAGGTTCATCAACAAGGTCAGAAAGTAAAAAAAATGAGAGCAAAAATCAGAGATATACATGTAACCAAAATCAGGGGTAGGGAGGAGGAGAGAAAAAAAATTGTAAATGTGGAGAAAAACAGGGGTTCCCCATCTCATTTCTTTTACACAGCAAGGGAACTTTTCCTCACAATTTTTTCTAAAGAGCAATGCGAAAGAAGCAATTTTCGGTATTATGCATATTCTTTACTTTTAAATGTTTTGTGTGTGTATGAAATTGAAATGCAAGTAACGAAACAAAATAGAGATAGAAGCTCACCGAAACTGTTCGAGCCACTGGAGTCCAGGGATGGAGTGTTGGGTTTCCTTCGGGAACTTTGCATAATAGTATTAGGGTTAGTTCTTATTTTAGGGTTTTGAAATAAAAATAAAAAAGAGGAGGTGATGGGTAGCATCCATTGAAGAAGAAGAGAGTAGAGAAGTGAAGAACGGTGCTGGTGGGGGGTGTTAACAAATGAAGATAAGGGAAAATTTTCATCTAAAGCATATATATATATATATATATATATATATATATATATATTATTTCATTAAAATGACCGCGTTTCAGTGGGTTAGTCAACCCGTGTTTTGTGAGTGGGATAATAGCGTGTGAAATCCATCAGTTTTAGAAATGATACGTTTTAGTCCTCAAATTGAGTCTTTTAAGTTTTTAATTCGGTCTTTATACTTTAATCTCTTTTAATTTTAGGCCTGAACGTATTGTATTTATTTCTGTTGTTTAGACATTTCAATTTTAATTTTTTCATGTTTCGTTTTAGTCTCGAGGTCGAAGTTTGCATGTTTATAATTCTGTCTATTTATTTTAAGTACATTTAATTTTAGTCCTAGTGTTAATTTCTTTAATTTTTGTTGTTTAGACATTAGGATTCTATATTTTTACATGTTAGTACTGTAGGCTGTTTTGTAATTTTTCCATTTTTTATGTCTGATTTTAATTTTTTTTGGGGTTAATTCGTTTAGGTCCTTAGGTTGTGCGTGTTTTGTATTTTAGTCAATAGTCTATTCACTTCTATTTTATTTCGAATTAAGCTTTAATTTTTGATTTATTTTAATTTAACCCTTTTCATGTTTAATTTTAGCTTAGTAATTTAAAATTTATGCAATTAGGTCCCCGAACTTCGATTCGATTTTTGATATTGACATAATTAAATGGGTTAAATTTAGGGGATAATTCGAGTTGGCCCTCGCGTAAACGCTCGAGGGACCACTTCGGTTATTCGATTCAATAATTAATTAAAATAAAAAATGATTAATATT